ATTGCTGATCTCCTTGCTAAAGGTCTCATCAGGAAGAACAAGAGTCCTTGGTCTTGTTCTGCCTTCTATGTCAATAAGCAATCTGAAATTGAGCGTGGAACTCCACGATTAGTTACCAATTACAAACCTCTTAATCAAGCTCTTCAATGGATTCGGTATCCGATTCCAAATAAGAAAGATCTTCTCAATCGTTTGTATTCAACAAAAATCTTTTCTAAATTTGACATGAAATCTGGGTTTTGGCAAATCCAGCTCAATGACAATGAATGTTACAAGACAACTTTTACTGTTTCGTTTGGTCAATACGAATGGAAGGTAATGCCTTTTGGACTGAAGAATGCTCCCTCTGAATTTCAGAGAATCATGAATGATATCTTCAATCCATACTCAACTTTCACTATCGTCTACATTGATGATGTTCTTGTCTTTTCTCAATCTATTGATCAACATTTTAAACATATTCATATTTTTGTAGATGTAATTAAGAAAAGTGGTTTAGCTCTTTCTAAATCAAAGATCAATCTTTTTCAAACAAAAATCAGGTTCCTCGGTCATACTATTTATCAAGGGACTATTACTCCAATTTGTAGAGCTATTGAATTTGCTGACAAATTTCCCAATCAAATTATTGATAAAACTCAATTACAAAGATTTCTTGGTTGTTTAAATTATGTAGCTGACTTCTTTCCTCGGCTTAATAATCTAATCAAGCCTCTCCATAATCGTCTTAAGAAAGACCCTCCTCCCTGGACTGATGTTCATACTGACGTAGTCAAACAGGTCAAAGCTAAGATAAAGGAACTTCCTTGTCTTTATCTTCCCAATCCTCAGGCTTTCAAAATTGTTGAAACTGATGCCTCAGACATAGGTTATGGTGGCATTCTTAAACAGAGAGTCTCAGACAAAGAACATATCATTGCATACACTTCAAAGCATTGGAATTCAACACAACAAAAATATTCCACTGTCAAAAAAGAAGTTTTAGCAATTGTTTTATGCATTTCAAAATTTCAATCTGATTTATTAAATCAAAAGTTTTTAATCCGTGTTGATTGCAAATCTGCAAAAGACATTTTACAAAAAGATGTAAAGAATTTAGCATCTAAACAAATTTTTGCTAGATGGAAAGCAATCTTAAGTGTTTTTGATTTTGAAATTGAATATCTCAAAGGCACCTCAAACTCTCTCCCAGATTATCTCACTCGTGAATTTCTGCAGGGAAGGTAAACAGTGTCCTGAAATGCCGAAATCGGTAAAATCAACCTCTTCTAAAGAGAGGAAAGGAAAGCTAATCCTTGCTGGGTTAGCTAAAAAATCAGAAAAGTCTGGGTCTCCAGCCCAGGAACAATCTGGGTCATCAACCCAACCCCAAGCTGGGTCATCCACCTAAAGAGTTGAGGATACTTCCTCTTCTAAACAAACCAAAGCAGATTATGCTATGCCAATCCAAACCCTTCAAGCATTCCAAGACCAAGGTTTGACTCATCTACCAAAGAAAACATGGGCTGAAATAGCCTCTGAAGATGAACAGGAAGAAAGTCTTTCTGTTTTGATGGATAACTTAAAAAATAAGCAGATTTCTAACCCTCCAAACAGGGCCCTAGAAATTCAACCCAAACCAATCTTTACCCAAAAATCAAAAGCTCAAACACCATATATCCCAAAAAACAAGTTCCTAGAAGTTATTCTGATGGAACCAGTCTACTGGGATAATAAGCCAACCAAAGTACCTGCGAAGATCTTTCCCAAAGACTTCAAAGGCAATCAATTTCATTTCAAACCCCTCTCTTCAAATAAATCCCAAAATTTCTATGAGTTTGTTTTACTTGATTCAAACTCTATTTCAATCAAACACTATAGAAGCCCAAAAGATCCTGAGTTTATAACTCACTCAACTATCCAGATTCTGAAAGTAATTACTCCATCAGAATATGGAAACCCAAACAAAGTTACTAAATTTTCCCAACCTTATGATCCAATCGGTTATAATTACTGAGATTATGAATTAGCCTGGACTAATGTATTCTTTATGCAAAATAAAGAAAATAAACACTCTTGGTTAATTTATTTTAAACAAAATGTTCAATATAAATTCCCTCAATGGTTTATCAAATGGTGGGATTATTTTGGACCAATTCTTGATATCCTTCCACCTATGGTGTTTGAAGGATTAACAATATTTTCAGAAAAATTTGACAAACTGACAGATCTGTTTCCAATAGATCTGCACTTTTTCTAGATTTTCTCTGGCATGGATATTTTCATGGCAGTATCATTATGGAGATAAATCTGGCACCAAACTCCCAACACTTAAACGACAAGCATTTGTTAAATGGTGGACGAAATTTGATGCATCTAGAGCTTGCCCAGAAAATGTCAAGCTTTGGTTTAAACAACATCCAAAATATATTAAACCAGCTGATCCAGAAAATTGTACTTTCCTGAATCAGAAGGCCAAAATTACAGCAGCACTATCTGCTTCAACCAGCAAAGAAAGCTTTGCAAAAAATTTGCAGAGCATCCTTCAACTCCTTCAAGAAGAAGAAACTGAAAATTCTAAACAGAAAACTGGTTCGCTTTCTCCATCCATCTCCTCTTCAGCAGATGACTTCTACCAAAATGAAGATGATTGTTTTGGCTTAGATTTGGCAGAAGATTATTGAAGTAGCTGATGTCAGAATGACATGAGCATGACGTCAGCAGAAATGACGCAATCAGTGACGCAATCAGAAGTGTCGGCAGGCACTGTAGTCAAAAATCTCAAAAGTGTCGGCAGTTACTGTGCACTCAAACTTGCACTGTTGAAACAGTTCCGGTTTCATGACCTGTACTGTAGAAATAGTGTTTTTTAGTCTATATATAGGATTTCTTCAGATTGTTGAAGGCATCCTTTTCATTTGCTGAGTTTAGAGAGATAGTCTAGAGAAAGAGACTGCGAGGTACTTCTGAGTTTTATCTTCTTCTTTGTTTTCTCTTTCAATCTGTAACTGTAATCGTTATGTTTCCTTATGTTTGAATAAAATATGTTTCTATATCTGCTGATGTAAAATCAATTCTTCTCTTCTCATCCCCTCACGCTAGTGGAATTACCCCAGCGTTCACCTTAAATTTATTTTATGTTTTTAATTTCTGCATTTTAATTTCAGTCATTTAATTTATATAGTAGTCTGTCTACTTTCCTGCTTTCCATTTTTGCTCTAGTTTACTTCATTTCCCTCGTCACACTTCCGGAACCCACTAATATATATATATATATAGAGTCAGGATCATTTTACACCAGTGTAAGTTACACTCTCTGTTATGGACCTGTATAAAGGGCCCATAAAATGACAGGCTCAATAAGAGGCAATCCAAGATTCGAATCCAGTATAATTACGGATAGTATCCATTAAGGATACTAATCCTAATGCGATAGCATAGCAGACAAGCCTAGGCCCTCATCAGAGGCACTAAAGGCCCACATCACATTATCCACAGGCAAGTCCGAGAAGGAGAATCCTAGAGAGAGATAAATTCTCTGGAGGTTGAAGATAGATAACAAAGTCATGTTGTAGCAGTGTCGAGACAGAGCTTGTGCGCAGAATTAGAACTAGAACTTTGATGCAGCATTGTGTTATAGTTTTCAATTTCATTTCCATGGATTCTTTCTTCATTCTTTATTTCCAACATGAGCTAGATATTTCTTAGGTTGGGTGATAAAGTACCTATGCCGTAATGTTGTAATGGATGTCTGAACTTGGTTTTCATTAGTTTTTAATTCCTTACTTAATGAGTTTGCTTTATTTCATTCATATGTGCAAATGCTGAGAGGTACATATATGATATTGAGGAGGCTGGGGCTAAGAAATTTTTTAATCCAAATTCTTAAGTATTGTGGATTAATAAGTTAAAGAAACTTGATTAAGTTATGGATAGAGAGATGATTCACACCACATAGCCTTAGAACTTAATCTTCAATGAATTCAATATTTAATTCTTGCATAGAGATATGGGGGTTAAGTGCTAGTATTTGTATAAGGTTAGCGAGAGTTCCTACATAATTTTTTATTCGGTTACTAATTCTGAATTAATAAATTATCTACTATATCATCGTTACAATATTGCCATATCAGAAAAATTGGTCTTGACCTATATTTCACATCAATCACTGTAATATCATAGTTTAGTTTACTTGCATTTTACTTTATAAACTCAATCATAAAGATCAAAGCTTTTTCCTATTACTTTACTTGAATATCACACTTTATAAATCATCTCCATCGGAACGATATATGAACTCATAAATCCCTATATTACTTGTTGATAACATGCAATTGCATTAGTTAAGGTGTTATTTTAAATGCCAAGAAGTTTTTGGCACCATTATAGGAGATAATTCTATAAAGTTTATTAGAGTAATGTAAATCTTTTTTCTTTCTTATTCTTTGATCTGTTCTCTTTTCTATTTCAAGAGCTAATTGCAGCATTTAAGCATTTCTCCGACAAAGTAAGAAGTGAACTTCGACCTTGAAATTAAAAGGATGTTTCGAGCTAGAAGGAGACAACAAAGACGTAGCACCTCAACAAATTTGAACTTGACAAAAAAGACTAAAAGGAAATGATGATGGAGCTGGACATGAGCATAATAATGAAAGACCAATTCAAGTTGAGATCCCAATCAGACTGCATACAATTCCAACACTCAATAATCTATATTCTGGAATCATTCAACCTGATGTACATAGCAGTAGAAATTTTTTGAGTTAAAGCCAGTCATGTTCAATATGCTAGAAACAATTGGTAAATTTAATGGATTGCCCAGCGAAACCCTCACCTTCACCTAAATTTTTTTATGGATGTAGCAGAAAACTTTAAGATCTAAGGTGTCACATCAAATGCATTAAAGTTGAAGCTATTTTCATATTCCCACGTAAGCAGAGCTAAAGCATGGTTGAGTTTATTGCAACCACATTCAATATATATATATATATATATATATATATATATATATATATGAAATTTCATATCTTGAAATATGGAAGAGTTGGACCAAAGCGTCCTGCAGCGGAGTAAGCAACATAGTCATGGACTGTTGTTTCCCTGTACTTTGGAGGATCATCTTCTGATAGTAAATCCTTTATTGGACCATAACGTTTTGCTGATGGAGAAAGACACGTGCTAAAAAAACTTGCAACTGATACTCGTGGACCTACATGGTTCGCCACCACTCTGTGCTCAACACTCTTAAATTTGTCATTTGTTACTAGCTGTTTACAGGAAAGTTGTTACTTTGCTAATCAATAAAATAATAATGCCAAGTCATCAATTATCTTTTTATCAGAATCAATGAGGTATTCAATATCAAAGGTATTCAACTGTTTGAAATGCATAGTTTTTTTCCCCGTTTCAATGTCATTTTATTTGGAATTTCACATTTGAGTCCTACTAACTGCATACGAGAATTAACTTTATCTTCCAACAAAATTACACCTTTCCTCTAGAAAATTAGCCTGACACGAAGTTTATTTGGTCACCTTAGGAGCCCAAAACTGAGGAAATCTTTATCACTGGGCTAACTAACAATCAATCATATTAAATGAACTCAATATTACATATCTTAACCCAAAATTTTAAGATATTAAATATAAAAATTATTTTCATTTATATAATTCTTACGTAAATAATGTTGGGATAAGTTTTAAATTAAATAAAAGAAAAATAGAAAATGAAAGGTTTATGGTGAAGAGGTGTGTCCCTAGGTATCTGTTAGTGGACAATTAATATGTTTAGATTTCCTACGTTAGTCATTATCACTCTTAATCATTTGCTATTGCTTATAAATAGCACACTGTAACTCTTGTAAAATAGGTTGGCAGAATCAGTAATGAAATAGAGGTATATTCAGAGAATTGCCTGTGTATTTATGTGTGTGAGCACCAGTTATAGGGCCTGTGAAATAACAAATTGGTATCAGAGCTTGAGCCAATGGAGAATATGAGTAATAGTCTGCCAGTGCCCTGCCTGATAAAAGTGAACTATGAAAACTGGAGCATCCAAATGAAGGCTCTTCTAAAAGCCTATGACAGTTGGGGGTTGGTGCAAAATGGGTTCGTAGAACCTGAATCAACGGAAGGATGCAGCGGCACTCTTTATGATGTTTCAAGCTGTTGAAGAAAGCGGTGGTCTTGAAAAGATTGGAGGCGCAACGACGGCAAAGGAGGCCTGAGATATATTGGAGACAGTCTACAAAGGCGCGGACCGTGTGAAGCAGGTCAGACTTCAAACTCTTCGAGGAGAGATGGAGGGGATGAAGATAAAGGAAACCGAAGGAGTGTCGGACTTCATCACTAGGGTTCAGACCGTGGTGAACCGGTTGAAACAGAATGGAGAGGTGTTGACCGACTCCAGAGTTGTTGAAAAGATTCTGAGGTCATTGACAGACGACTTCGAAAACGTGGTATGTACAATTGAGAAGTCTAAGGACTTGGCTACGCTTTCTATTGAAGAGCTAGCTGGTTTTTTTGAAGCGCATGAGCAGCACAAGAAGAAAAAGAAGGAGGAGTCTCTTGAGCAAGCACTCCAGACAAAAGCAACAATTAAGGATGAAAAGGTGTTGTACTCTCAGAATGTCCGAGGTAGAGGTTGTGGACGAGGTGGACATGGAAATGGCCGAGGTGGTCGTGGCTGAGGTCAGGAGGTGAAACATGAAGAAAGAGCTGAGACGAGTCAACAAAACTGGAGAGGTAGAGGACATGGACGAGGTGGAAGAGGCCGGTGGTCGAATCAAAGTAATATAAAATGTTATAAGTGTGGCAAGTATAGTTACTACGCAAAAGATTGCAACTCGGACAGATGCTACAATTGTGGCCTAGACGAGCATTTTGCTAAAGATTGCCGAGATGAAAGAAAAGTTGACAAGACTTCAAACTTCACTACAGAAGGAGAAATAAGAGATGGAGAAGTTCTGATGTTAGCACATAGTGAAACTAGCTCGAAGAGTGAAACAGAGTGGTACTTGGATACTGGTGCTAGTAATCACATGTGTGGTTACAAACATTTGTTCAAAGAGTTGAGAACGGTAGAATCCGGACATGTCTCTTTTGGAGACGCGCTCAAAATTGATGTGAAAGGCCGTGGTATGGTCTGCTTTCTACAAAAGGATGGACAGGTTGGAACAATTCGGGATGTGTACTATGTGCCCGAGCTTAAAAGTAACATTTTGAGCATTGGACAGTTGATGGAGAAAGGTTACTCGATTCTAATGACAGACCGAGTTCTACTATTGAAAGATAAACAAGGGCGTCTGATAGCCCGAGTTCAGATGGAAAAAAACAGAATGTACAAGCTGAGTTTGAGGAGCGTGGAGGTCGGCTGTCTACAAGCCGAGGTGGAGGATAAGATGTCTTTGTGGCATTGACGGTTTGGACACCTTCATTACGGTGGTCTAGCCGAGCTGATGAAGAAGAACATGGTAGTGGGACTCCAAAGATAAATTCTGAAAGAAAGTTCTATGAAGACTGTGTGCTGGGTAAGCACACAAGAAGTCCGTTCCAAAGGATGGAAAGATACCGGGCTAAGCAGCCTCTGGAGTTGATATATACTGACCTGTGTGGACCCATAACTCCGGGGTCCTTCAATGGAAAGAGATACTTTGTTTCGTTTATTAATGATCTCAATCGTAAGACTTGGGTATATTTTCTGAAGGAGATGTCCGAGGTGCTAGAGGCATTTAAGAGGTTTAAAGTGATGATAGAAAATGCAATTGGGAGATACATCAAGTCGGTCCGTTCTGACTGAGGTGGAGAGTACATTTCAACTGCCTGTAAAAGGTATTGCGAAGAACACGGGATAAGATGGTTCCTGACCACGCTGTACACACCACAGCAAAACGGAGTTGCTGAAAGAAAGAACCGAACTATCTTGGATATGGTGCGTTCTATGTTAAAGACTAAGAATATGCCTAAGGAGTTTTGGGGAGAAGTCGTACAATGTGCTGTGTACGTGCAGAATAGATGTCCGTATTCAAGTGTGAATGAAAAAACCCCACAGGAAGCATGGAGTGGTCTAAAGCCATCAGTGGCTCATTTCAAGATTTTTGTTAGTGTTGCGTATTCACACATACCGGACCAGCTCAGAACGAAGCTTGAAGACAAGAGTAAGAAGTTTGTTTTTATTGGATATGATGAGAAGACGAAGGGATACAAGTTTTTGGATCCCGTCAATAAAAGGGTGCTAGTAAGCCGAGATGTGAAAGTGACTGAAGAAGATGAATGGAACTGGAATAGTACATTCGGGGTCAATGTGGAACCCGAAAATATATCAATTGAGGTCGGACAACCTTTAACCCATATCCCGACAAATCCTGAAGTCTCTGATGATGAAGAAGATCAGAGATAACCGAGAATGAGAAGCTTGCAAGACTTGTATAACTCAACTAACGAAGCACATCTCATTTGCTTGTTAGCAGATTCTGAGGATTTGAGCTTTGAGGAAGCTGTCCGAAATGAAAAATGGCAATCTGCCATGGAAGAAGAGATAAAAGCTATTGAGCGGAATAAGACATGGGAGTTAGCCGAGCGATTCAAAGCCCGGTTAGTAGCAAAGGGGTACAAGCAGAAAGCTGGAATAGACTATGACGAGGTGTTTGCACCCGTAGTAAGGATGGAGACAATCACGTTGTTGATCTCACATGCAGCCCAGCTTGGATGGCCGATCTATCAGATGGATGTGAAATCGGCGTTCTTAAACGGTGTACTTGAGGAGGAGGTATATCTCGAACAACCTCCGGGTTTCATGAAAGTCGGACAAGAAAGAAAAGTGTTAAGGCTGAAGAAGGCTTTGTATGGGCTGAAGCAGGCACTGCGGGCTTGGAATACCCTTATTGACTCTTATTTCAAGAAGGACGGATTTGAGCAATGTCCATATGAACATGCCCTGTATGTGAAGAAGAAAGAAGGTAATATTTTACTGGTTGCTTTATATGTTGATGATCTAATCCTCTTGGGAAATGATGAAGCGATGATATAAGACTTCAAGAAGAAAATGACAAAAGAGTTCGAGATGACAGATCTCGGTCTAATGAGATACTTCCTTGGTCTGGAAGTCAGACAAGACAAATCCGGGATCTTCGTATCTCAAGAAGCTTATGCAAAAGATATCCTAAAGAGGTTCAAAATGATAGATTGCAATCCGGTTTCAACTCCTATGGAACCCGGCTTAAAACTTTTGAAGTATGATGGAGGAGAAAGAGTTGATCCGAGTAATTACGGGAGTCTAGTAGGATGTTTGAGGTATTTAACTTGTACGAGGCCAGACTTGTGTCTAAGTGTTGGGATTATAAGCCGGTTCATGGAAGATCCGGGCTACACACATTGGAAGGCAGCAAAGAGGATATTGAGATATGTTCAAAGAACAATCTCGCAATGACTTCATTATTCGAAGTCAGACAAGTACAAACTGGTGGGATATTTCGATAGTGACTGGTGTGGAGATGTTGATGACAGGAAGAGCATGGATGGCTATGTGTTTTTCATGGGAAACACGACATTCACGTGGGTGTCAAAGAAGGAACCCATTGTGACTCTATCTACAGGCGAAGCCGAGTACGTTGCTGCATCCTGGTGCGTTTGTCACGCAATGTGGCTAAGGAATCTATTGAGTAAATTGGAGCAAGAATAAGTCGGCCCAACTAAGATCCGGGTTGACAACAAGTCTGCAATCAAGTTAGCAAAGAACCCGGTCAACCATGAGAGGAGTAAGCATATTGATGTCAGGTTTCATTTCTTCCGGGATCAAGTCAAGAAAAGAAAGGTGGAGCTCAATCATGTTGCAAGCCGAGATCAAGTGGATGACATATTTACGAAGCCGTTGCCAACATTGCTGTTAGAAAATTTCAAGAAGAAGATTGGGATGAAGGATGGTCGAAGAATTTAAAGCTTATGATGAAGTTTTGTTGGGATAAGTTTTAAATTAAATAAAAGAAAATAGAAAATGAAAGGTTTATGGTGAACATGTGTGTCCCTAGGTATCTGTTAGTGGAAAATTAATATATTTAAATTTCTTATGTTAGTCATTATCACTCTTAATCATTTGTTATTGCTTATAAATAGCACACTGTAACTCTTGTAAAATAGCTTGGCAAAATTAGTAATGAAATAGAGGTATATTTAGAGAATTGCCTGTGTATTTGTGTGTGTGTGAGCACCAGTTATAGGGCCTGTGAAATAACAAATAACTCCTATATATCTTACAAAACTAAATTACTCGTTACTCACACTTGCATCCGCCTAACGCATGTGTGAAATAGATATGCATACAAAATACACAAAGTAAAAACATGAAAACTCACCTGTAGAAGATCACCAATGTTGATCACCAGAGCCGCAGGTATCGGGGATACATCAACCCACCTGTTTTGGTGAAGAAATTGGAGGCCACCAATATGATCTTGAAGAAGCACAGTGAAAAAGTCACTATCAGTATGCCTGGGTGCGCCCATAGTCAATTCTGGTTCTGGACATGCAGGATAACAATGGCCAATAACTGCAAGTCCCTCACTGCAACCCATATCATTTAAATGATTTGAATTTAGCCCAAGGGCTTCTGAAAATAACTCAAACATTGAACTTCCCAGCTTCATAACTTGCTTTGTGTATTCCAGCATTATATCTCTGCATGCATATGCAAATAATTTCTTAATGCTTTAGACTCAATCAATATGAAAATCAGTTGCTAAAATATGCAAAGATTGATAGATTTGAAAATAATGAATTTCTTTTCATCATTTCTTGATACCGCAGCAGTGGTAAAACTGTTCATTGGTGACTGCAAGGTCATGGATTTGAATCCAGAAAACAGTCTCTGTGCAATTATTTGTAAGGGTAAGGCTCCGTACAAGAATTGCTCTCACCCCACTGTTGTTAGTCGGATTTAATTGGGGAGTGATTTTTTATTTATTTATTATTATATATATCTGTTGATCAATTAGTCTCGTTATATAATAAATGAGTCAAATTTCAGTACATACCTAGTTCCTGAACTTCTCAAGATTTGAATTTCTTGATACAAAATATCCTTCTACACAAAGCAACAAGCAGTCTATTTTTTTTTTTTTTTCAAAAGTCAACGCGCCCTAAAACTAAGATTCTATCTTACATACCTGCATACTGATGGCAAGTCTTCTGGTTTGGGAGGATGAGGAGCCATAAAACAGAAAAAGGTATCCCTCCAATAAGCTTCAGTTGAACTATAAAGATCAAAGTTGCTATAGTACGCAAAAGGCTTCATAGGATCACGTGAGTATAGTTCTCTTTTCACCTTAGGGTCTTGGTCATAGAAGCTTAGCACTCCATTCTTCATCTCCTCCAGAATACTCACTGGTATTCCATGATTAACAATTTGAAAGAAACCCCACGTCTCAGATACTTCTCTAATTTTCTCAACAACCACTTTCCTTCTAGTTGGGTCTTCATCAATACCTGCAAGATCTACATAAGGAGGTTGGGTGCTTCCTAAGCCTGAGTCCTTCTCAGATTCATCAAAAGGATGGGAATGGTAGAACATGCGAGGGATCTTTGTGACACCTGCATCAGCAAGTCCTTTAACACCATCTTTTGTGTCATCAAAAGCTTTGACCTCACTTGCTCTATCATAGTCATGCTTTGTTGTGACTGAAACTTCGTTGTTTTTGGAATGTCCCATCTTTTCTCTTCTTTGGAGTGTTTGAAGATTTTAGTCACAATCTCCTTCTAAATATGCAAAGCATCATATATTTTACAACACTAGAAGAGACAAAGAAGCATTAATTAGGGTTTAGTGTGTCATTTAAAAGGACACAATTTGTGTCCTCGTTTTAGTGACTTACACAGAGTATGATCGGTCATACTCTGTGTAATTCTGAAAAGTTACTTTTTTTTCACTTTACACATCAGCGATATGACTGAAGAGAGAGAAAAAAAAAAGTAACTTTTCAGATTTACACAAAGTATGACCGGTCATACTTTGTGTAAATTATCTAAAAGGACACAACTTGTGTCCTTTTAAATGATACTTCTTTTTCCCTTATATGTAACACTTGGAAGGTTAATCACGCTTCTTTCAACATACTTTTATTAAATAAAAATTAGACTCAAAATTATTTAATATAACGTTTATTCAATAAAAAATGTATTAAAAGTATATCAAACCATTGAAGATGGTATTATATACTTCAATAATGTAATATTTCAATTACACCACCAACCTATTTAGTTTGTGAAATATTCTTCAAAAAATATATTGAATTATTTTAGTTTCCACTTGAGATGCGGCAGCATATAAAATTTTGAATAATTGCAACCAGAATTGATAGGATTTTGCTCTATCACATGTACAGCCTGTTGTTGACGAGTACTTCTATTGCAAATTGCACAACATAAAGCCAAAGAGTGATACAATTGTTTTTAAAAATAAAATTTTATTTCCTTTTTTTGGTACGATGGAGATTTTGAAATATACTATTCAAACCCCTCGTTCGTAACACATTGCTCTCATATTCCTATTAACTTATTTGGAGAATAATTTAAGGTTCTACTTGATGCAGTAGCATATTCCTCCCATATATTTCATAGTTGTTGGATATATTAACAAGGGGAGAGTTATATTTACAAACTTTATGTTTACAAACTCTTACAAACTACACTATGTACTCCCGAGAGAACACTAGGTTACTCTATGTTCTCTCAGGAGTATATAGTGTAATTTGCAAAAATTTGTAAAAAAAGTTTGTAAACAGATCATTTCCCTATTAATAACATAGTCCAATAATATATTCATATACAAGCTCAATAGGTGAAAGCATAGTTATTTGAGCGTATATGAGCTGAAGTCCAATAGCTTGCATTATTTCTATGATTTTCCTAAACTCGAGGTAACATTGTTGAATTTTTCAAATCTGATGTCTCTTGGTATAATACTTCAATCACCTCTAAAATCTTCTCTCTCAAACCATAACCTCCAACAATATTGAACTATTAGCTCCGTGTGTCGGATTTGAGCGTGTGATGTGTCTATTCGAAGATCTCATCAAGAGGAACTCATAGGGATAATCACTTTCCCAAAATAACTATTTACATGTCTATCTATGCATCAAAAGTAAACAAAATCGTATAATCCATGCATCAAGCTGTCTTTGGCTTTTTGCCCTGGGAAACTCCCTCACCATCAGTGATGGTACCTGAAATGTATCCTCATAATGCATGGTGAGATATAAATCTCAATAAATATAGGTCACTTCAAGAGCATACATTATACCGTAACAGAATATCATACATTTCATAATCTCATGTTGTTCTGTCATTATTTGTTCATAGGACTTTTGCTAGGTCCTATGCTTTGGTATGGTCCTTTAATGAAACTTTTGCTAGGTTTCAAAGGAATTAAACCCAAGGACTTTTGCTAGCTCCAAGAATGGTTCATACCATGCATCGCCTTTAAGAGACTTTTGCTAGGCCTCTTTGGTTACAAGCTATATAAACTATTGCTAGGTTTATTGGACTTCATACCACATGAACTTTTGCTAGGTCCATGGAATTACAATGGCATACATACATACATCATCTACTGGATCCAAAGATACTATCATACATGTCATTTACATTATAATCTCAATCATCTTAATATGCATTCTATCATGCCATGTACTATGATGCATCTCTATCAAACAACCATTATCCCAATGAGGTGTGGTGGAACACATAAGGGTATTAACCTCAAGGTTCAAAAGTTTACCTTTATGTAGACTTCTTATAACACCTGAAATATTTCAAATGCATACTAATAGTTAAATTAAGGGTTAAAGGGAATGCTTAGTGAAAATCCTAAGTTCCAGGTCAAAATACGTACGGAAGGTAAAACAGTAAATTAACAAATATGTAACCTTAAATGGTAAAATGATAGAATTAGGCCTCAATTGATGATAATAATACTGGAGATGGGTTCAGAATAAAAAATTTAATGGTTAGACAAGTTTCTGGAAAATTGATGAATATTATTTTTACCGGATCAAATATTGTGATACAGTTGCATCGAAAAACGTGAAAAGTGAGATTAGTGCTCTAGGATTGAATATATTTTGGAAAAGGTACTTAGGACCAAGAAATATGACTAGTGGTATTATTTGATGGATTTTAGGATTTTTAGGAAACGTGTCAATGGTGTACCATTAGGGGTAAAACAATAATTTCACCAAATTACCGAAAAACTCTGGATTTATCTGTTTAAGGGTAATTAAAGGACTTTGTTGAATGTTAAATTTTTGATTTAATGGATAGTTCATGAATTAATTAGAGCCTAGAGTGTTAAGTAGATGATTTGAATTATATGAGGTGGCATGTGAGACCCACTGTAAGAACCTGCACCGTTAAATAATTAATTAGATAAGATTATCTATGTCGGGGCATGAATTTGATAAAGATTATGCATAATTATGAAAAGATAAATATTTAGAAAGTGGAATAATGCTTAAAGTCGCTTTTCTGATGAAAAATGCAGATACTCATTCTGCTTCGCGGTATAAATGCATACTGGTGAAGTATCCCGAAAAATTATAATAAGTATATGAATATTTCTGGAATAATATCTAGGTCAAGAATACCAAGTTTGGAGTGAGAATAACGAGCGTTGATGTCAGAACTAATATCGGCTATGTATAAAACGCGTACCGGCAAAGTGCTGCGAAAATTATAATAATAAGATGATAATTCCTAGAAAAATGGCTAGGTTCAGAATATTAAGTTTGGGAGTTAAATGATTAGCGAAACTATTAGAACTAATATTGACGGATTAAGTTAACGCACCTATAAATAGGAAGGCACAGATTTCTAGGGCATATTTTTACACACTTTGCGTGCCTCCTTGCTGCCTGGTTTCTGCCATCTTTCCTCTCTTCTTGGACTTGAGCTCCATGCGCAAAAATGAGCCAAAAACCCACCATTCTCATTGATCCTTCCTCATTGATCTTGTAAACACTTAGTAGTTAGCATTGTGAGGGAGAAAGGCACCCCATTTCTGAGTTTATAGCCACTGAATTGTGAGGGTTGAGGGCTGTCCACTGAGTTGTTGTGGTGGAAGCCATTTTCTTGCACATTGTTTGTTCAAGAGGTTATTTTGTTAAGAAAAAGACCAAACTTGGGAACCATTTTCGTGGTCTTGTGAGGTCAGAAACATAGAGCTGAGTAGGAAGCTCCGAGATCATTCTTTTCCTCTGTTTTGAGCCTTTGGGGTGTATATTCCTTACCTTTGTTCTTGAGTTTCCTTGTAAAAAATCAAGTCTTGGCATGTTAAATGAGATGAGTAAGTAACCAACATGAACCCTGGCTAAAATGTATCTAAATATGCATGTTTGAATGTCTGGTAACACTAAAAGTAGAACCTTGGAAGGATATCTTCGCGTCAATGCAGATCTGCATTCTGTCACGAAATATTCGGATATGGATATCTGGATATTGACTGTAAGAACTTGCACCGTTAATTAGAGAATTTAAATTAATTAAATATGATATTAATGAGATAATTCTATAATTGACCCTAATAATTATGAGAAGGCTTAAATAATTATGCATGGTAAATGATTAATAATGTTGAAAGTCGTTTCTCTAACGAAAAGTGCAGATACCGATTCTGCTCCACGGTATAAATGCGTACCGATGAAGTATCCCGACAAATTATGAAAAGTGTGTATATATTACTAGAATAATATATAGGACTAGTATAACAAGATTGGAGTCGAAATAAAGAGATTTGGTGTTAGAACTGATACCGGCTACGTAAAAGCGCGTACCGGAAAAGTGTTTCGAAAAATAAAATAAAAATATGACAAATCTTAGAAAAATGGCTAGGTTCAGAATCCTAAGTTTGGGATTAAAATCCTAAGCATAGCTATTAGTGCTAATACAATGTGATTAAACGTAATCCGCCTATAAATACTAAGTGGCACATATTTTTTGGTCATTTCCTCTCATGCTACGTGCCTCCATTTCTGACTTTGAGCTCCCTCACTTGCCACCACGCTCTCCTTTTATGAAAACCACCAAGAGATCATCTTTCTCCATATTCTTCCCTCTAAATCATTGTAAACACTTAGTAGAGTGCATTGTGAGGTTGAAGGTCAGCTTTTGCTGGGTTGTGGGTACTGTTTGGGGAGGTTTAGGGTGTTGTCTCTGAGTTGTGTGGAGTGGGAACCTTTTTCCTTGGTGTTTGGAGCTTTAAGAAGCTTTCTTTGAAGAGAAAGGACCTAACTTGAAGTGTATTTTCGTGGTTGTGCTGTATCTGATTTTTGGAGCTGCATTCTGAGCTCCAAGAGCATCCCTAGTTTCTGTTTTGGGAGCCTTGTGTATGTCCTTAACCTTTGATCATGATTTTCCTTGTTAAAAGAAGAGTCTTGGCATGTAATATGAGTTGTATAGGTAACCAACATGAACATAGACCTAAATGTGTATAAAAATGCATGCTTGGACGTTAAAATGGGTTAAAAGTTGAACCTTGGGAGTGATATCTCGCGAAATGCAGAAAATGCATCCTGTCGCAAAATATCCGGATATGATATCCGGATAATGATATCCATATATGGGGTTGGAAATATCCGGATATGGATATCCAGATATGGCCGCGACAAATATTCGGATATTCCGGAAATTTCGAGACAGTGACTGTTCTATTTATAC